AAACCACTTGAATAAAGATCTGCAATGAGAAATCACGCCACACCTTTGTCACAGCTTTCTTTCTACATTAGGCCAATAAACATGTTTCATTTTTTATCTGTATCTTTTTTTAAAAGCAACTTAACTTCTATGATGTGGGCGTGATATACAAAGGCTTTTAAATCCAGGAAAGCTTCTTTAACAGGTCTGTACGTCCTGCTTCAGTTTCACTGCTGACATCTCAGGAGAGCTCCTCAAAGGAGACCTTCACATGAAGGCTGGAGGCTCCTTTCAGAGCCACATCAATGATAAAACTGCTCAACTGGCTTTTGTAATGCAGCCGAATCTGACCTGAAGAGAAGAAGCTGCATCGCTTTAAATGAAGACAAATGTGTCTGCGTGCCATCAAGCAGGGGTTTAAATCAAAACTGGTAAACAAAGAACATAAAGAATCCTGCAGCATAAACGTTCACATGAATTATTCTTCGTGCAGCGACTCAGAAACACGTCAAACATGTGAATCGTCCAAAGGAATCATGCAGTAAAGAGTTTTTGAAAGCACAGACGTACCCAGCGGCGAGCCCATGCAGGTGCCTCCGTTTAGGCAGTAGTCTGTGCAGTGGTTGACCTCACAACGCTCCCCTGAAAAGTCAGGCCAGCAGTAGCACCTCCAGTCTCCTTTCTCATTGGCTAAGCAGCGGCCTCCATTCTCACAGGGGGGGCGGCACAGTTCACCTTCACAGCGGCAAAGTTTGTATCACTTACTGCAGCGCCACGTGCACAGTCACGTGATATTTAACAGTGTTATGGAGCTAATGTGAGACAGCAACACGCACAGAATGCAGTTATCACCAGCGTGTTCACTAAACACATCGTGACGCTTCAGAAAGCTGCTCATTGTTATATATTCAAAGTCAATATTACTGTTAAGATACCTGAGACGTTGACATCATTGCAGGTGCCGTTCACCAGCACCTTCCCCTCTGGACAGGTGCACCTGGCACCAGTCGGGTTGAGCAAACACATGAAATCACAGGACATTCTGGAGCATGGATTGGGTCCTGTGGAGAAACAACGGAGGAGATCATCTGTGATGCTGAACAAGAACTTCTCTTTCTGTGAAACGTGCGGTTGTTCTTTTTTAATAGAGCTACTGAAGTGCTGTAGGTTTAGAGGCACAGCACATGAATCATTTACACATGCATCTTCACATTGACTAATCAAAAGCTGAGAATAACTGTATAACTGATGTGTCACCTTTAGAAGGGCTGCTTTTAGCAGAGAGGACGACATGTTCATGTTGTGAATCAAACTGCTTTAACTGAAACAGGCAAACACAACTCAACATGATGTTTGACTGAAGCTGCTGTCAGAGGTTCACATCCACTCATCGTGAGCATGAATGTCCTCTACATGCACCCTCATTAAAACTGGGTTTGCGCCACTCTTCTTCACAGTTCGTTTGAATTGGTTGTTTTTT